CAAAATCCTATTGAGGGAATGTTACAACCGCTGTGGCCTGACGTTAACTCTTTAGTACGTACATTAACAACACAGATACCCACGTAGACAGGAACGTTAAGTAAATCTGACGAAAACAAAAAATTGGGAGTAAAATTAAATAAAATTACTCGGAGAAAAACAATTACAGAAAGGCCAATGGAAAATTTTAGTACAGATAAAAATAAAATTAATAATAGCATATGATATACTTACATTCTTTTGTTATATTCTGCTGTTGTTATATTCCACTGTTGTTATACTATACTGTTGCTATACTGTTGGAGGCAGGTAGCAACAGGAATTAAGCTTAGTCCTGTTGGTCTCATCTTTCCTTCCACCCGATAGTTCTGTTGACGTGATATAGATCTCTCTCTCTCTCTCTCTCTCTCTCTCTCTCTCTCTCTCCACACACACACCCACACACACACACACACACACACACACACACACCAAATAATGTTATCACCCGGCCAGAACATGACATACACGTTGTTGTTTTCACACTATAGGTACAAATACTCCGTTATGGGACACTGAACAAATAGCTCGGTGTGGAACAATGTGAGTAAATGACTTGGTTCTGGGACAATTGCAGTGCGTGGTTTTTTGATGGTTTTTTGAAAGAACACAAATACGTCCTGGAACAATATGAACAAAAAACAAAAATTAACAAGACATTAATAAACAACTATAACAATCAAAACCTAACCTACCCTAACGTAACCGACCCTAACCTAACCTAACCTAACCTACCCTACCCTACCCTACCCTACCCTACCGTAACCTACCTTAACCTAACCTAACCTAACCTACCCTAACCTAACCTAACCTAACGTAACCTACCCTACCCTAACCTAACCTAACCTAACCTAACCTAACCTAACCAAACCAAACCTAACCTAACCAACTAAAGACTGTTCATCATCAAACCTGTCTCAATAATACGCTTCTGACACTCAATAATACGCTTCTCAATATACGCTTCTCTGGCACTCAATATACGCTTCTCTGGCACTCAATATACGCTTCTCTGGCACTCAATAATACGCTTCTCTGGCACTCAATATACCTTCTCTGACTCTCCAATATACATACTCTGGCACTCAATAATACCTTCTCTGGCACTTCATATACACTTCTCTGGCACTCAATAATACCTTCTCTGGCACTCAATATACGCTTCTCTGGCACTCAATATACGCTTCTCTGACTCTCAATATACGCCTTTACCCCACTGACGTAGGTACAAGTGTTTGTTAAGTCAAGTATCGAGAAAGTCAAGTTGATATCAAGTTACAATTTTATAACATTTAACCTCCTGGATACCGGTATATGAGAGGTGGGTTTTATTTCGGGGTTATAGAGCTGGCCAGTTAACTCAGTCAGTCAGTCAGTCAGTCAGTCAACCACCCAGTTACACATCCACCCACTCAATCAATCAGTCAGTCATACCACCCAACCAGTCACCCACCCACCCACCCAATCAATCAGTCAGTCATCCTGTTCCAATCACCCACTCCACTCCACCCAATCAATATCAAGTCACCCACCACCCACCAGTCAGTCATCCCACCCACCCAATCAATCGTCACCCACCCACCCAATCAATCAGTCACCCACCCACCCAATCTAACCAGTTTCACTCCACCACCCAACCAGTCACCCACCCACCCAGTTAGTCACTCAGCCAAGCATTAAGCCGACAAACGTTTTATACATCACAGGTAATGAATGATAAAGTGTACACAGCTATATAAACATTGTATATAAACATTGTATATAAACATTGTATATAAACATTAACAGACGCCGGCAATGGACCCAGTCTAATTATACCATACATTGCTGTTTGACTTGTGGTATTGATGCTAACTCACTCTCTCTCTTCTCTCTCTCTCTCTCTCTCTACTCCTCCCCCTCTCCCCTCTCTACTCCTTCCTCCATCCCATCTACCCCCTCCTCTCCACGCCTGAAACAAACACAATTGAAAACGAATAGCTCGACCTATGACCCCCAAGGCTGCAAATTTATGGTATCGGTATTCAGTTGAGATTGGAGAGAGAAAGAGTGAGGTGTGTGTGTGAGATGTGTGGTGTGTGTCTGTGGGGTGATGTAGCCCCTGCTGGGGGCTAAGGCATTGTTGTATATATAAGGTTATTTGTTGTTGTTATTGTTTTTGTTGTTGTTGTTTGTTGTTGCTGTTGTTATTGTTGTTTTTGTTGTTTTGTTATTGCTGCTGCTTGTTTTTGTTGTTGCTGTTGTTGTTTTTTGTTGTTTTGTTGTTGTTGTTGTTGTTGTTGTTGTTGTTTTGTTGTTGTTTTTGTTGTTGTTGTTGATTTGTTGTTGTTTTTGTTGTTTTGTTGTTGCTGTTGTTGTTTTTGTTGTTGTTGTTGTTGTTGTTGCTGTTGTTGTTGTTTTTGTTGTTGTTGTTTATTTGTTGTTGTTTTGTTGTTGTTTTGTTATTTATTTTTGTTATTTGTTGTTTGTTGTTGGTATTATTATTAAAACTAGAAGCCACAATAGCTGTAGGATACAACTAGCGTTAACTATGCACACTTAAGGATGCTGGAAAACCCCGTAATCCAGGTTTAACATAATATTAAACCTAATGTTAACTAAACCTTTACGTTAACACTAGTTCTTGTTTACTTTGCGATACTACTTAAAACCGACATAACCGACCGACTTTTAGCCGATCTACTTATAACCGACCTACTTACAACGACCTGCTTATAACTAGCCTGCTTATAACTGACCTGCTTATAACCGACCTACTTACAACGACCTACTTATAACTGGCCTGCTTTAACTGCCTACTTGCAGGACCTGCTATAACCGACCTGTTAGACCTTTATATACTTATCTTTCACCGACCTCTTGGATTGCTGCTTATAACTGATTATATAACGACCTGCTTATAACCGACCTGCTTATAACCGACCTACTTATAATGAGCCTATTTATACCGACCCTTATAACCGACCTACTTATAGCGACCTGCTTATAACCGACCCATTTATAACCGACCTGTATACAACATTACTTTAATCTTGCTTATAACCGACCTACTTATAACCGACCTGTTATGCAACAACTTGCTAACCGACCTGTGAAACCTGTTATAACCGACCTGCTTATAACCGACCTGCTTATATAACGACCTACTTTAACCGACCTACTTATAATAGACCTGTTGTAACCGACCTCATTATAACCGACCTACTTATGAAACTTATTATACCTGATAACGACCTGCTTTAAGACCTATACGACCTGTTATACAACAACTTGCTTATAACCGACCTACTTATAACGACTGATAGACCTACTTATATAATGTTATGCAACACAATTATAAGAGTGCTTATAAACCTAATACGACCTCTTCTTTAACGACCAACTTAAAGCGATCTGCTTATAAACGACTTACCTATATAACGACCTACTAACCGACCTACTTATAACCGACCTACTTATAACCGACCTGCTTATAAAGACCTGCTTATGCGACCTACTTATAACCGACCTACTTATAAATTTTATAAGACCATTGTAGCAGACCTGCCAACCATTTTATAGACCTCTTAACGACCTACTTATACCGACCTTGCATAACCGTACTTATAACCGACCTGCAAACACTTATAAACGACCTTCATAACCGACCTGCTTATAACGACCTACTTATAACCGACCAACAACTTACTTATAACCGACCTACTTATAACCGACCTGTTTATAACCGACCTACTTATAACCGACCTGCTTATACAACAACAATTATAACCGACGTACTTATAACCGACTACTTATAACCGACCTACTTACTTATAACCGACCTACTTAAGGATCTGTTATAACCGACTTACCTGTATAACGACCTACTAAAGACCTGTTATAACCGACCTGCTTATAACCGACCTACTTATAACCGACCTACTTATACAACAACTTACTTATAACCGACCTGCATAGCCGACCTACTTATAACCACCCCTTAACCGACCTGCTTATACAACAACTTACTTATAACTGACCTACTTATAATGACCTGCTTATAACCGACCTACTTATAACCGACCTGCTTATACAACAACAATTATAACCGACGTACTTATAACCGACCCCATAACCGACCTACTTATAACCGACCTACTTATACAACAACTTACTTATAACCGACCTACTTAAAAAGCGATCTGCTTATAACCGACTTACCTATATAACGACCTACTAACCGACCTTCTTATAACTGACCTACTTATACAGGACCTACATATAAGCGACCTACTTTTTACACCCTCTGCCACCCAGTGTCACCCTCGCCACCCAGTGTCACCGCCACCCAGTGTCACCCCACCAGCAGCAGTGTCACCCCTCGCGCCACCCAGTCTCGCCACCCAGTGTCACCCTCGCCACCCAGTGTCACCCCTCGCCACCAGTGTCATCCCTCGCCACCCAGTGTCACCCCTCGCCGCCCAGTGTCACCCCTCGCCGCCCAGTGTCACCCCTCGCCGCCCAGTGTCACCCCTCGCCACCCAGTGTCACCCCTCGCCGCCCAGTGTCACCCCTCGCCGCCCAGTGTCACCCCTCGCCGCCCAGTGTCACCCCTCGCCGCCCAGTGTCACCCCTCGCCGCCCAGTGTCACCCTCGCCGCCCAGTGTCATCCTCTCGTCCGTGTCACCCTCGCGTAGTGTTACCTCGCCACCCAGTGTAACCCCTCGCCCCAGTGTAACCCCTCGCCACCCAGTGTCATCCATCGCCACCCAGTGTCACCTCGCCACCCAGTGTCACCCTCACCACCCAGTGTCACCCTCGCCACCCAGTGTCACCCTCGCCACCCAGTGTCACCCCTCGCCACCCAGTGTCATCCTCGCCACCCAGTGTCACCCCTCGCCATCCCAGTGTCATCCCTCGCCACCCAGTGTCATCCCTCGCCACCCAGTGTCACCCTCGCCACCCAGTGTCATCCTCGCCTGATGTCACCTCGCCGCCCAGTGTCACCCCTCGCCGTCAGTTGCACCCCTCGCCGTCCAGTGTCACCCCTCGCCGTCAGGTGTCACCCCTCTCCGCCCAGTGTCACCCCTCGCCGTCCAGTGTCACCCCTCGGCACCAGTGTCACCCCTCGCCACCCAGTGTCACCTCGCCGTCCAGTGTCACCCCTCGCCGCCCAGTGTCACCCCTCGCCACCCAGTGTCATCCCTCTCGCCACCCAGTGTCACCCCTCGCCACCCAGTGTCATCCTGCCGCAGTGTCACCCCTCGCCACCCAGTGTCATCCTTCGCCACCCAGTGTCACCTCGCCCAGTGTCACCTCGCCACCCAGTGTCATCCTTCGCCCAGTGTCACCCCTCGCCGCCCAGTGTCACCCTCGCCACCCAGTGTCACCCTCGCCACCCAGTGTCATCCCTCGCCACCCAGTGTCACCACCTCGCCACCCAGTGTCACCCCTCTCCGCCCAGTGTCACCCCTCGCCACCCAGTGTCACCCCTCGCCACCCAGTGTCATCCCTCGCCACCCAGTATCATCCCTCGCCACCCAGTATCATCCTCGCCACAGCATCATCCTCGCGCCCAGAGTCACCGTCGCCGCCCAGTGTCACCCCTCGCCACCCAGTGTCACCCCTCGCCACCAGTGTCACCCTCGCCGTCCAGTGTCACCCTCGCCGTCCAGTGTCACCCCTCGCCACCCAGTATCCCCCTCGCCACCCAGTGTCACCTCACACCCAGTGTCACCTCGCCACCCAGTGTCACCCCTCGCCACCCAGTGTCATCCCTCGCCCAGTATCATCCCTCGCCACCCAGCATCATCCTCGCCGCCCGTCACCGTCGCGCCAGTGTCACCCTCGCCGCAGTGTCACCCTCGCCACCCAGCATCATCCCTCTCAGTGTCACCCCTCGGCACCCAGTGTCACCCCTCGCCACCCAGTGTCACCTCGCCGCCCAGTGTCACCCTCGGCACAGTGTCACCCTCGCCGCCCAGTGTCACCCCTCGCCGCCCAGTGTCCCCTCGCCGCCCAGTGTCACCCCTCGCCACCCAGTGTCACCCCTCGCCACCCAGCATCATCCCTCGCCGTCCAGTGTCACCCCTCGGCACCCAGTGTCACCCCTCGCAGCCCAGTGTCACCCCTCGCACCCAGTGTCACCCCTCGCCGCCCAGTGTCACCCCTCGCCGCCCAGTGTCACCCCTCGCCGCCCAGTGTCACCCCTCTGCCCAGTGTCACCCCTCTCCGCCAAGTGTCACCCCCTCGCCGCCCAGTGTCACCCCTCGCCGCCCAGTGTCACCCCTCTCCGCCAAGTGTCACCTCGCCGCCCAGTGTCACCCCTCGCCACCCAGGTACGTCCCCTCGCACCCAGCATCATCCCTCGCCGTCCAGTGTCACCCCTCGGCACCCAGTGTCACCCTCGCCACAGTGTCACCCTCGCCACCCAGCATCATCCCTCGCCGCCCAGTGTCCACCTCGCCACCCAGCATCATCCTCGCCGCCCAGTGTCACCCTCGCCGTCCAGTGTCACCCCTCGGCACCAGTCACCCTCGCCGCCCAGTGTCACCCCTCGCCACCCAGCATCATCCTCCCAGCCAGTGTCACCCCTCGCCCAGGTCCAGTGTCACCCCTCGCCACCCAGCATCATCCCTCGCCGCCCAGTGTCACCCCTCGCCGTCCAGTGTCACCCCTCGGCCCCAGTGTCTCCCCTCGCCGCCCAGTCTCACCCCTCGCCACCCATCATCCTCGCCGCCCAGTGTCACCCCTCGCCGTCAGGTGTCACCCCTCGCCACCTAGCATCATCCTCGCCACCCAGTGTCACCCTGCTTAGTCCAGTGTCACCTCGGCACTAGTGTCTCCCCTCGCGCCAGTGTCTCGCCACCCAGCATCATCCTCCGCCGCCCAGTGTCACCCTCGCCGCCCGTGCCACCTCGCCGTCAGTGTCACCCCTCGCCACCCAGCATCATCCTCGCCGCCCAGTGTCACCCCTCTACCCAGCATCATCCTCGCCCCAGTGTCACCCCTCGCCGCCCAGTGTCACCCCTCGCCGCCCAGTGTCATCCCTGCCGCCGAGGTGTCACCCCTCGCCGCCCAGTGTCACCCCCTCTCCGCCCAGTGTACCCCTCGCCACCCAGTGTCACCCCTCGCCACCCAGCATCATCCCTCGCCGCCCAGTGTCACCCTCGCCACCCAGTGTCACCCCTCGCCGCCCAGTGTCACCCCTCTCGCCCAGTGTACCTCTCGCCCAGTGTCACCCCTCGCCACCCAGTGAGGCCAGTTCCAGGCAGCTTCCTGGTGTGAGAGGAAGTGTTCTCCAGTCCACAGCGTGCTCCAGAAACAACAAGCCTCAATTTTATAGCAATGCATGCTTGTA